TGATTTAACAATATCTTAAGCTATTTACGTCCTTTAAAATTCTCATTGATTTTAAAATGTAAATTTTGTTGATTTAACCAATGATTCGATAAATCCGATTTTTGATTCTACAAAATTCATAATTGACTGATAATTTTAAAATTTTCACCGAATAGTATAAAATGTCAATAAGTTAACAATGATTTTATTGAATCAAACGTGATACTTAATAATTCGGAAAAAATCATGTTTCGAATCGACAAAATATATTTTGTTACATCAAATGAATTGTTTTAGACTATAGTCTAAAAAATAACGCTTTTTTTTAAGTTTGTTTGGTAGAGAACACCTTTAGAAAAGACCTAGTGTTGGGTTTGACTTTAAGCCTTTGTATCAATCGTCATCCGTGTCAGTTCGCCGTCGTAAGTCAGTGTGTCAATTGTTTTTTTATTTTTGTAGCAAGCGNCCTAGCCTTTGTATCAATCGTCATCCGTGTCAGTTCGCCGTCGTAAGTCAGTGTGTCAATTGTTTTTTTATTTTTGTAGCAAGCGCCTTCGCTTGAATGGTAAATGGCCATTGTACGCCGTTATTCTTATTATTTGTTTATTGCACCCGTGTGCTCAAAGTTCTCGTGCCCTTGCACGCCACCAGTGATTGGGCCCCGACCATCGCTAAAAAACTTCATTGCCGTAGTCGCTTTCCGCCGTTTGTTTTCATCTGCCATTACGTGCCTGGATCTAGACTCTGACTCGTGATACTCAGATGTTTGACACCATTACCACAAGATCTCATACAGTCCACTCATCACTATCAACAACTTCATCTATTCAGTTGAGTTTTTTATAATATTATTTATTTAATTGAAGTTAACTAATTTGTTTTATGCCGCTTCGCCGGTTATTAATATTTAAGGGCCCCCCGTTACCCGTTAAATTTAAGATACTCTTTGAAGAACTACTAATATATGTGGTTATTTGTTATGTGATTATTGTCTACTCTCGTTACTTATTATTTGTTTTTTGCCATCATCGACCCAGGTGGCCCCACTCCCACTTCAATAATAGCCATTTAAACAGGCTTAAAATAAAACGGCATTCTAGTGCGGTGCACAACTAGCCGTCCTACGGTCTAGCTGCCTCGTACGAAACAAAGTTATTATTTAGTTGTTTTTTGCAATAATAAATACTTTGGTTTTTAGTATATTTTTATTAGTATGTGTTTCATGATTACAGTTACACGACACGATATTGTTCATATTAGATACAAATTTAAAATTAAATTGTATGTAACACGTATAACGTAAAAAGTAAATATAAAATAATAAGGCATAGCAAATATATTTAAAATAATTCTCACAAATATATTAATATATAAAATAAAATATTGTACACAATTATCAAGTCAAATAATATTATATTATTAAACCTAATACAATTAACAAGTATTAATTTTTGATAGTAAATTTTGTTTAAATATTAATAGCACTATGGTTGAAAAAATTATTTTTTATAAACCTAACATAAAATTAGATAATATAATTGTTCAAAATATGAATGATGAACAAAATATAAATTTAAATCAATGTTTTTAAATCGACTTAAGTAGCCAATTAGTAAAATACACTACTATTACTGGAATAATTTCATATAAACAAACAAGAAATATGAAAGACAAACTTAAATGAATCCACAAAAAAATAACTGATAAGATGGAAATAATATTTACAAATTAATGTTCACATATAATAATTCATTAGAACACTTGTCTTATCATATTTTGTGGTTTTATTGAGAAATATTGCTGGATGAGCAACTCATCCGCACATTCTACAGGATATTCCACGTTAAAAACATGAAAAATTTTAAAACTTTCACAGCAAAAAATACTTTGTACCGATTGTTGTCGTAGTACACAACAGTTTGTTCGAGTAAAGCTGTGACGAAGCCAGTTTCCAATTCTAACTCGACTGCTTAAGTAATAATTTTGCGCGTGCATTTTCGTTAAAGGTTACTCGGATGGCTTACGGTTCGAACGGGGAGAGGCTGATTCTTAACCGCAATACCGAGTTGTTCGCAGACAGCATTAACTGCCATTGGTGAACTTGCCGGATCGACTAATATCCCCCCTCCCAATTGTGTCCGAAAAAACTTCGGACACCTGACTCGCATTATTGTCGGCCATGTCGACTACATGAGTGATCTCCGATTCGCTAATTACTTCCGAATTTACTGCGGGGTGTCCTCAATTCCGATAAGAAGGGTGTGGTGCCGAAAGAGTGCCAAGATCGTTGGGTTGATATATTTTTACCAGGTAAATATTGCGTAACAGCAAAGTGCGCTTTAAACGAGACTTCGTTTAAAACATCCTGTTTTGATCTGTTTTAGGCTAAGGGGCGGACTAATTCCTTCCTAGCCGATTGTCGTTTCGGGTGACAGTTGGTTGGTTGGGTATTGGTGATGCCAGTGTCTTTCGCCACAATATCTATACAGGGACGACGGCGCGTCCTCTCCCGTGTTGCCTGACCGCTTTCAGGCCGCTGGCTGCGCGTTACGAGGTGCCACGATTTTAACTACGTCTTGTGCTTTCTTATGTAGATTGGCAAAAGACGCTGGGTGAATTAACCGTATCGTGCCGCAGTACTCATCCCATAAAAGTCCTGTTAATTGTCGCCCAAGTAGATCTCCACTCTGTTTAGAAACTCACATAGGTCCCCTCCTAGCTTCTCACGTAGTATACTGAAAGACAGGCGCATTCGGTGCGAATGTCTGGATGGTTACTATATTGACCATGGGCTACAGGTATGCGATTAATCATTATTTAACCAACGACCGTCGGTATAATGAATGTAAAAACCTCTAATATTACTATTTATAACACATAATAATAAATTGATGAAAAATTCATTTTTCATGCGTTTCTAAAATAATAGATTATTATAGTAATAATTTCAAAAAAGAGGTGATAGAAAAAATCTAATTTCAGACTTGAAATCACCACAAAAATATAGTTTAGTTAAGTATATATTGAAATATTATCATTGAAAAATATTTTATTTTAATGCGTAATTCAGTACAAAAACAAATTTTATACTCCTATTAATTTGGAGATATTTAATTAAAAAAGTTTTTTTGAAGTGGCCATTTTTTATAATAACGCAATATTTGTCTGAATTTCTAAAGTTTCTAAAGGATTCTTTTCAATATTCGGATTTATAAGTTCAACAAGATTAAAATTGTGTTCTTTTAACGTATTGGTCATTAAAATTGGTCAAGTGAGAGCTTAGAAAAACTAACGACAGACACAAAAATAAACCACAAAATAATATATTTTAATATAAATAAGAAAGTCCTTCTCACAAGGGGAGACTAAAGTGATAGGATCTTCGATATGCATTGAATATGTTGATTGAACGTTATTTATTATTATTCATTTAAAATTTTTTTTCACCTTCAAAAAAGAATTAAGAAAAAAATACAAAAAAGTTATTTCTCCTAGGGGAGTTCGAACTTTGTACCCCGTGACTATAAAGTGTACGACACAGCCACCGTACATTACGTTTACGCATTGATAAAAATAACTATTCAAACTAAATTAAAAATTTAATGTCCCTTTTTTTATTTTTTAGGTGGAAAAATAATCAAAGTAATTTTAAATTTATATTTAATGTAAGTTAGATTTATATCCCTTTTATAAAAATTGGTGAACTCATTACTATGGCTAACCCTTGTAAGGTATTTTAGAATAAACAAAAAAATAAATAAATATTATTAACTTATTTTTTTTTTGTCCTTTAAAGTTGATTTTTATAAAAACTTATAATTTAAAAATGTTGAACTTTTAAACACAATTTTTGCTCAACTTGCAAGTGTAGGATTAATATAATTAGATAAAAAATTTTATGTGGAATAAAATATACTATTTTTCAGATTCATATGTGATCAGAAACTTAAATTAACTTACTTAAAAACAGTAAATTTATAAGGAAAACTTAAAATTTAGATGAAAACGTTTTATTGTAATAAATTATGTAAATAGAAGTCTTAGTAAGCATTTTTATGCAACTCTTGGTGATTAAATAATTATTCATATTAATATACTGCAAATACTACATTTTGCTTTTTATGTATTTTTTTAATTAATATATATTTATTGATTATTCATGTGTAACATAATAATCACAAATATTTGTTATATTAATTAGAAGGATTTTGTTATTATTGAGCCCATATGCGAAACTTTAATTGAATATTTGAAATAGGCGCATAAATGGGTTAAGAAATGTATATATTGGTCACTGATGAAAATTTCTTTTAGACCAATACATTTACTTAAAAGTAATAAACAATTTTTTTTTTTTGTATTGCATCAAGACCTTCATCTTTTATATACGTTTACCATAAAAGTAATAACTACTTTGAAATTTCTCCTTAAAAATTACAATACTAAATTGTTAAATATCAATTTCATACTTTATTAAAATGCTATAATAAATATTTTTTCATAAATTACACTTTAAATTCTAAGAAATACTAATCAGGATATAAATAAGGAAATAATAGTTTATTTTTTTTTTTTGAATAATCCATATTTTTTTATATTAATCACTATCTACTGATTTGCATCAAAGCGTTTCTTATGATAGTGATTTCAATAATTGTCAGATATCATCTATAATTGTCCCCACTATGCCACGTTCACGCTTGTGCCACAACCCCACTGTACTACCGTTGTTTTTTTATATGATAATACTCATTTTTTTATTAATGAATAATAATATAAAAATTAGAAGTGATGGAAAAAGTCTTATTTCAGATTTGAAAACAGCACGAAAAGTTGAATAAGAGAAGTATATTTTTGCTTATGATGAAAGTTTTTTGTAGTCCAGTGTATTTACCCAAAAGTAACAACATTTTTTTATTGAAAATTATTGTGTCAACATTTACATTTTTATATGCGTTACACTACTTTACTATTTTTATATTTTCTCTATATAGATTGTTAATAATCAATTTCATACTAAATTTAAATACTATAATTAGTATTTATTCATATATTATATTTTTAAATATAAAACTTTTTTCTGCAATACTATTACTTATAATAAATTATAAAATATTATTCTTAAAATTTAAAAGAAAATGTACATTCAGATTATAATTGGTAGTTTATAAAATTAAATAATATTTTAGTTACAAGAATGTAATTTTTTTTTGTGGAATTTGAGGACTTCTTGGTTTTTTTTTTTTATTTGTTTTAGAGAAGTGTTGCGGTTGTAGTCGATATAAATAATATTTATCTATATAATATTTAATATCTTATTATTTTGCACTGATGGTTTTCAAAATGTTGACAATTTATTTCTTTTTATGATTATTTTTAGTGGTTGTTAGCCTTTCTTTATACATTTTATTTTTTTTTTCTGCTACAATGTTTTCATTATCTCTTTGATTTTGTGCACATACTCGACATTTTATTCTTCCCCTTAAGTAATTTTCACCGCAATCAAAACAAAACTCATGTAAACACCCACTAAACTGTCTTATTTTTAATGTATATTTGAAACAGTATTTACATAGTACTGTAAATAAAATATAAATTAAAATACTGTTATTTTGGTTTGAATTTGAAAAATCTACACTATAAAATTATTGGATATGTGTTTAATATTTTATTTTAGTATTGATGCGAAGCTAAGAAAATATTATTTCTACCATATGTACTTTATTTTGTGTCTATCACTACAAACTGTTCAACTCGAAATAAAACAATTTCCTCGACAATTCGTCAGAATTTAAGTTAAAAAATATTTAATAAAATAACTCTCAAAATTTGGACACAATTTTCCATAACTCTGTAAAAAACCAACAGCTTGCAACATAATTTTAAGGATACCTCTCGAATGTATAAAGTTAAGCTATAGAATTTAGTCATTCGAATTTCGAAAATTTATATTCTAAGAGACACTTAAATCAATATATGAGTAAAATTTTAACTTAGTAATGTGATACGATTTAATATAGTAATATGCTATATGATAAATCATTTTTACTTAGTGTTTTTAATCATATTTCTAAAACAATATTTTGGTAACTTTAACTAATAAATTTAGTGGAATGATCAATTTGAAAATGTATTAAACAATTATACTTACTTAATCTCATTCCTATAATGAAATAAAAACAAAATTAATATGACAATTAATTAAAAATTGTGTTAATTGGTCAATATTAGAATGTTTTTAAGTATTTACTAAAATAATATAAAATTTTTTTTTTCTAGAAAACCTATAAAAGGAGAATTATTTTATATGTAAATTTCGATATAANATTTTTTTTTTTCTAGAAAACCTATAAAAGGAGAATTATTTTATATGTAAATTTCGATATAAATATTTTTTATTATTTTTATGAAATATTTGTGAAATATTTATTTGGTAGGAGAACTTTTTTATTCATATTAAAATTATTTTACTATATTTTAAGTTTTAGTATCGATGCAATGCTGAGAAGATTTTTTTTGTGACTATCATTTATTTTCTCTGCTCTAATTTGACCTATTTTTTTCAACGATACGTCAAATGACTACAATTTGTATCTAGTTGAAGATATTACCCTCAAAAATTGAAAAGAATTCTAATTTATCAATTAAACAGTTACTTATCCCATATTCTCCATACAGACAATGAAAATCATTAATTTCTAATCTTTTCAAAGTATTTATTGACGAATCAAGTTTGATATGATAGGTTACAACTACAAAATTAAATCATTTTACTTTGTTATTTAATAATTTTTTTACTCTATTATGCTAGACTATTATATTCCAAATTTGTAGGTAACATGTTGCTATATACATCATTTCTAAAAAAAATGATTGTTAGTTTCGCCTGAATTAATAATGGATTTTTACAATTATAATCAAATTGTACTATACGCTCAATTGAGTAAATCTTTTTAACAACTTTGTTTTGATTGGTTCATTTAGTTAAAGTAAATCATTAAAATTAATTAAGTTCTGAATAATTAAGTTCAATTGCAGAATCTTTTCAAACACCAAAAGTTACTAGGAAGTTATTACTATTATTTCAATTTAAATTATCTATTACGATAAAAATATTGATAGTGAGCTTTTCTGATAAATTTACAATAAATAGTAATTATAAAATTTTTTGCTGCATATCAATCTTAACGATACAATTTTTTTAATACTGATAAAATTTTCTATTTAATGATGTCAATTTTAAACTTGCCATTTGAGCTAAAAGTTATGGTAAAATAAATTATTTTTTTTTATTATAAACATTTACAAAAATCAACTTTAAACGATTAAAAAAATAGGTTAAATATGTCATTTTCCTTATTTTTAACATATTAATATCCAAATCAGTATTATTTTAAAACAATTTTTTTTTGTTCTTAATTATTTTTTTATATGTAAATACTATTTTTTAATAATATTAAAACTTAGAAGTGATAGAAAAAGTCTAATTGCACATTTAAAAACATCACGAAAAGTTGATTTAGAAAATTACATTTTTGTTTCTGATGAAAGTTCCTTGTAGTCCAATGTATAAAACTTATAACTTTGTTAACTGTTATAACTTTATCAAAAATGACCAAATCAGTATAAATATTTTTTATTTAGATGCATGTCTTTACCTATCATTTGGTTTTTTTATAAATCTAACCCTTTACCTGCCCACAAAAAGGATTCAAAATGATAACTTTTTTTTTTTTTTAGTTAAAGTAAATCATTAAAATTAATTCAGTACTGGATATTTCAATTGTAGAATATTTTTAAATACCAAAAATTACTTATAAATGATTACTATGATTTCTATTTATATGTACTATTATGATAAAAATGCAAAAAAATAATGAGTTTTTCTGATAAATATACTATAAATAGTAATTATAAATAGTAAATAGTAATTATAAAATTTCCTGACTGCATATTAATCTTAAAAATAATATTGTTTTATTTCTCATAAAATTTTACTTTTCTTTTTCTAAATCAAATTTTTGCATTGTATTCAAATCTGCAATTAGACTTTTTCTATCACTTCTAATTTTTTAGCTTCGATGCAAAGCTGAGAAGGTATTGGTTTTACTAAGATGTGTTTTTTTTTTTTTTTTTTTTTGGGGG